CAGTGTATGAATTGGGGGGGGGGGGCACAATTCAGCCCATAACACAGCAGCAGCAGCAGTAGCATGTGGGGCTGACTGAAGGTGCAGACTCTCTGGTGTCTCACCATGGACCTCTGGGATCAGAAACTCATTTCAGCTTGACCCCTGGGTGATTTGTGTGCACATTAAAGTTGAGGTGGACTGCTTGCTAACCTCATTAGATGAAAAAGAGAATGTGTGTCAAGTGTGTGGCCAGTGCCTGGAACCCACTAGGCGCTCAATAAATGCAGGGCTGCAAAGCTCATCTCTGCTGCTTTCCAGCCTGCAGGGCCCATCCACCTGTGGCACGCCTGGGGGTGGGTGGGGACGGGATGCCAGTGCTGGTTCTGGAGGCCCCCACAGGGGATCACAGGGAGAGCCAGGAGGAGGCGGCTCTCGACCCCAGCATCCACTCACCCTGTCCTCCCTCTGCCCAGACATCACAGGCCCCATCATCCTGCAGACGTACCGGGCCATTGCTGAATACGAGAAGAGCTCTGGCACCGAGATGGCTCTGGCCACGGGCGACGTGGTGGAAGTTGTGGAGAAGAGCGAGAGCGGTCAGCCTCCTGCCCTGCCTGGACCTTCCACCCCTGCTGCTTGGGCCTACGACCACGAGCCCCCACCAGGGCTCTGCCCCTCAGGCAGCCCGGGCCGTCCTCCCCACCTGGCCCTGGGGCCCTGACTGTGCTCCCTGCACTGTGGGTTGCCCTCTCTCTGAGCGTGCACCCTGGGGCAGCTGTGGGTATCTTCACTGGGCATCTCTGGGGTCCTGTCCGGGTGGGCAGGTCAACTCCTCATCATGTGTGTGAAGTTGCTTCCAGGCTGTGATTTTGTGACCCTGTGATTATGTGTGGGTGTGATTTTGCTGTGGAGTGTGGTGAAGGTGACATTTCATAATCCGAGTGTTGGATGTTTGTGTGTACGTCCAAGTGTCCTCACCACTCCGATGGCTGAGGGAGGCTGCCAGGCCCAACCTGACTTACTGTTTCACGCCCCGGGCACAGGCTGGTGGTTCTGCCAAATGAAGACAAAGCGAGGCTGGGTCCCAGCCTCCTACTTGGAGCCCCTGGACAGTCCCGATGAGGCAGAGGACCCAGAGCCCAACTATGCAGGTGCCCCCTGTCCTCCAGGGCCGTAGGGGTGTGGGAGGAAGGGGTGGGAGGGGACTGGGATATTGAGAAGCCAGAAGTGACTCCTTTCCTGTTGGAAATGATGGGGGTTGGGCAGAGGGGGAATCAGGGCTGAGACCCCACAGTTTGGCTTGGGGGCTCTGGTAGGAGGTGGTCAGGGCAGGGAACCAGGAGGAGGAACAGAGGTGGCAGGTGATGAGGTCAGCCTGGGCCACTGGGTGGCGGTCAGCTGGGGCCAGGTACAGTGGGAAGCTGAATGGTAAGTAGACCAGAGGCTCAGGAAGGAGAGCTGTCTGTAGGAAGGGGGGCCTCATTGCTGACTAGAAAGGAAAAACTGGCAGCCCCCGGGCTGGGTGGGGCCCTCGTAGAATTAGAAAACAATGAGAATTGGTTACCCATACTTTAAAATGGACATATTTCACAATTTTATGTGGATTTATGGCTCCTCTTTAAAAACTGGAAAAGGTGTGTATACTGGACCTGCAGCCCCACATGCCTACACTTGGCTGGAGTTGAGTGGCTCAGGTGCCTGCAGGAGGGCGCTCGTCCCGCACTTCCTGCAAATCCCCTCCTCTATGTAGGTGCCTGACCAGGGCTCTGAAGTCATGGGAGCTCCTGCCCCTGGTGTGGATTGCGGCAGGTGGGAGTGGGCAAACTCCCCTGGGTCGAGAGGTAGAGAGGGCAGGGCTCCAGGATGCCCCCACAGTGGCTGGGAGGAGCCTACAGGAGACCAAGAAGGACCAGCTGGAGGAAGCCCCAGGAAGAGAGGAGAGGAGGGTGGTGAGCCCTGTGCTGGGCAGATCCTCACGCCCCCC